ATACACTGTCACACCCAGCCAGGAGCTGAGCACACTGCCCGCTGATGATGAAAACTAACCCCAATATTTTTTTGGTGAAAAAATTTAATGAGTTGGCAACAGATAAACTGGTTCAACTGCTAGGCTCATGGGCCATTCTCCCTTTCCCCAACATTGCGACTGGAGAGAGAAGAAAAGGAAACTGAGACCCCCCAAGGATTTTCCAGGCCTGGTGAAACCCAGCTCAGTTCTTTTCCTTGGATCCTGAGAAGTACCCAGGCGCCCTTCCAATAAATCCTCATGTGCTGCTCAAGTTAGCTTGAAGAGGGTTTCTAGAGCAATCAGCTCTGCCACATAGAACCCCTCACCAAATCCTATCAGGAGTGAGTCCAAGTTATTGATGCAGAGAAAGAAGTTGAAGAACCAAGCAGGAACAAGTCTCAAGAGCTGAAGTATAAATATGAACTTCTGTTCCTTTTCTAATAGCTCTTTGCTTAATAATTGATTGGCCTGAGCCCACAATTTTTTGATCATTCTTGTTTAGTAGCATAATCTTATTTCAGTGTTTAAAATTGCTTCCTTTATCAGTCCCACCATAGAGCCCATTCTAAGCTCTTCTCTTTGGCCTCCTCTTCCTGTCCTAGCTCAAGGTACACCTACTTTTGGATCTAGAGGTTTTGTGTAAAGGAGAAGGCTGATCTGCTTCTCATTTGCTTTTTCTTTCTTTCTCTTTTTTATTTTCAGTATTTATTTGTAATGGGTCCAGAAAAGCATAAAAGCTGTACATATTGTGGGGTTACCTGTAATGGTTGATACAATATATACAGTGCATAATATTTAAACAAGGTTAAACATATTTATCTCCTCAAAGATTTATCATTTTTGTGGTTAAAAACTTTCGAAATCCTTTCTTCTAATTTTTGAAATATATTGTCGGGAGCAATGCTACACAATTTTAGGGAAAAATCATTTGGTTAGCCTAGTTCTCTTTCCTACAGCCCAGCTACAGAATTCCGAGACATAACTCCATTTTGGCCTCCAGTCACAACTGAGACCTCAATGATCCGATGATGCTGTGATTCTCCAGGACAAGAAACATCCGGGGAGCTGAAAGCATCCTGGGAGGAACAAACATCTACTCAGGTCCTCATTGTTCTTGGACTGTTACCATCTTGTTTACGCGCATGTACTGAACTCTCTGTAAGTCATTTGTTACATTTGTTTCTCCGGATGTACTGAGTACTGAATAAAAGGTGCCGTAAACTGGGGGCTTTTGTCTTTGCCGCCTAGAGCAGCACTGATCAGACCCAAAGCTCAGCTTCTTCTCAGTCTCATTTTTCTACCTTTCCTGTAATTTGCCTTGTGCTGCCCTGGCTCGAAGGAGACTAGGACTTACTGCAGAGGTTCTAGTAACATCCCCTTTCCCTGTTCCCTACAATATATTGTGGGAAATTGTAGAATTCAGCTATCTAGTTGTAAGAAATGATCACAAGAAGTTTGTTAACTGAGAAAATTAAGTCGTTTCTGGGAAATTCCACAAGTCTGTTTGTTAAAAGAATGCCAGAAAACTTTAAGAGACGTTGTAAAAGTCTCACGGGAGAAAAACAGGTTTTCCTAGTTTATTTACCATTTTCTGGGATCAGAGGACCTCGACCCAATGACTCTATCGGTGTTAAGAGAGATAAGACTCACTATGCACATCTGTGATGTTTATGGTGGGCCGGTGGGCTTGATTTTGGCTAAAGTCGTCCTGCTGTCTTGATACTATCTGATAAGAAGAGGGCTGTGGTGTGCTCTTTGATGTACAGGATTGGTGAAGGGAAACAGGGGACTTGTGAATTCGCCTGTAGCTTTTATGAGTCACTTAAAGTCACTGGTTATCATCAGAGGTTAAAATCAGAAAGACAATAGCCAGAATAACTAAGCTGCTTTCCTACATGTATAAAAGCCTTGCTTCTTCCCTTTGTGATGGTCGAATAGTGCCAGAGGAATTAAACTGCTGTTTGTTCCCCAGGCTGTCTCCTTTTCTTTCTTTGAAAGTCAGTGCTTTCCAGGGTTCCAGGTCTCCCTCTAGAGAGACCACCCACAATATATAGTACATAATCTGCAGTCACCATACTGTGCAATACCCCAGGAGTTCTTCCTCCCATTGAACTGTATCTTAGTGCCCATGGATAACCTTCCCTCATACTTTCTCCAAGGGGTATTGGCCCTGGACTCTGGTAATCACCATCCTGCTCTCAGCTTCTATGACAACAACTTTTTTAGATTCCATGTACATGTGAGATCATGCAATACTTGTCTTTCTATAACTGGCTTAATGTAATGTCTTCCAAATGCATCCACGTTGTCACAGGATTTCACTCTTTTTATGGTTGTATAGTATCCCATTGTGCACATGCATTGCATTTTCTTTATCTACTCATCAGCTGATGGACAGGTTGTTCCCATTTCTTGGCTATTTGAATAGTGCTTTGATCAACATATATCCTGAAATTTTATTAGTTCTAATAGTTTTGGTGGAGTTTTAGGGTTTTTCTATACATAAGATTATTCCACCATTGGTGGCAATTTGATTTCTTTTCCAGTGTGAATGCTTTCTATTTCTTTGTCTTGCTCAATTGCTCTGGCTAGGACTTCCAAAAATGTGTTTCATATCAACATAAAAGTCGACATCTTAGTTAGCTATCTGTGGATAGCTAGTTCTTAGAATATTTCATCTGTTTAAAATTTTCTTAGTACATATTTGCAGTACATAATGATTATATTCATTGTGGAGAGTTCATACATGTATATAAGACATCTTATTTTTTATCTCCCCTTTTCCTCCTTTAAACCCACCCCTCAACCATCTCTTGGTCCCTTTCACAAAAAATCTATTTCTCTGCCAGGGATTTAGCTCAGTGGTTCCATCGCTTGCCTTGCAAGTGCAAGGACCCGAGTTCGATCCCTGGTACCAAAAAAAAAAAAATCTATTTCTCTCCTTCTTAATATGTATCTTTCATTTTGCTTTTTAAATTTTTTATCCCTTGAATTTCTCATATAAGAGAAACCACGTGATATTTAACCTTGTGGGTCTGATTTATTTCACTTAACATTATGGTCTCAAGGTGGATCCATTTTCCTACAAATGACTCAAATGTATACCTCTTTATGGTAGAGTAGTACTCTGTTGTGTATAAATACCACATTTTCTTTTTCTTTTTTTTTTTTGGTACCGGGGATTGAACTCAGGCCCTTGTGCTTACACAGCAGGCGAAGAAACCACTGAGCTAAATCCCCAGCCCTCAATACCACATTTTCTTTATCCATTCATAAGTTGATAAACATAAAGGCCCCTTCCAAGATTTGGTTATTATGAGTGATGCTGCTATAAACATGGGTATGCGTGGATCACTATAATATGCTGTCTTTAACTCTCTTGGGAAGATACCTAGAAGGGGAATAGCTGGGTTGAATGCAATTTCTAGTTTTAGGTTTTTGAGGATTCTCCATACTGATTTTCATAATACTAGTTTACATTCTCACCAACCATGTAGAAGGGTTCCTTTTTCCCAACAGCCTCACCAGCATTTGTTATTATTTGGGTTGTTTGTTTGTTTGTTTGATGGTGGCCATTATTTCTAAAGTAAGAAGGAATGTCAGTGTTGTTTTCACTTGCATTTCTCTAATGACCAGAAATGTTGATCATTTTTTCATGTATTTGTACTTCTTCTGAGGAGTGTCTACACATTTCAGATGCCCATTTTTTGACTGGATCTTTTATCTTGAAGGGTCCAATTATTTTCTAGCTCTGCATATATTCTAGATATTAGTCCTCTGTCTGAAGAGTAGCTGAAAAAAATTTCCCATTCTGTAGTCTGTCTCATAACTCCGTTTCCTTTGTTGTGCAGATTTTTAATTTGATATAATTCCATTGGTTGATTCTTGATGTTAGTTTTGTGCAATTGAGATTCTGTTCAGAAAGTCCTTGCCTATGCCTGTGTCTTCAAAGTATTATCTATTTTTATCTTCCAACAGATTGTTTCTGCTCTAATATTTAGATCTTTGGTCCCCCCCTTTTTTATTTTTGGTACCAGGGATCGAATCCGGGACCTTGTGCTTGCGAGGCAGGCACAGGAACCACTGAGCTAAATCCCTGACCCCTCTTTGATCCATTTTGATTTTAGGGTTTTTTTGTTTTGTTTTGTTTTGTTTTAAAGGAGGAAAAGTTTATTTAGTTCACAGTTTGTATATATTTCAGCCCATAATTGTCTGGCTCCAAGGAAGGGTGGTATGCCAAAGGGGCATCACAGAGGAAAAACAGTTCATGGTGGGCAGAAGGCAGCAAAGCAGCAAGCAACAAGCTGGGACCCACTATCTGCCTCTTATATGCTATTCAGGCTACCCACCCTTAGGATGGATAGCACTCACGTCCAGTGTGGGGCAGCCTTAATCCTCGTATCACATCCTTGATCCCAGCATCACACATCCTAGATCTAGCCTTCTCCAAAAAACTCTACCTATGACCAATTGAGGCTTTGGGGGGACATCTAGACACAAGCCATTACGTCATGATTAAAGTGTTTTTTTCACCTTATTACCTGTTACTGTGTAACAAATTACTCTAAAACTTAGCAGCTTAAAGCAACAGATATTATCTCACAGTTTCTGTCATCAGGAGTCTGGGAGCAGTTTAGTTGGTTGACCCTGATGCAATGTCTCCTGAGGTTGTGGTCAGCTGCCAGCAGGCTACAGAGGCCCTGGGGGCTCACTCACACACACCTCCACTCCTCACCTTGTGGGCTTCTTGCTAGGCTGCTTGAGTGTCCTCACCACATGGTAGCTGGCTTCCCCCAGAGTGAGTGATCTGGAGAAATGGAAGCTGTTGTTTTACACCCTAGTCTCAGAAATGATATCCATCACTTTTGCCCTTCACTGTGGGTTGCAGAGACCAATGCTGGTACAAGGTGGAGGGAGCAACACAGAGTTGTGAATAACAGAAGATGGGGAGCAATGAGGGCTGTTCTGAGTCTGGCTAACAAATAATGTAAGTATTCCATCTCTTCTAGGTATCCAATGAATTTTTTGAAGAAGGATTTATGGCTGATGTTGATTTAGATGACAGTTGTACACTAAATAAGAAAATAAGAAATGCACAGCTGGCTCAGTATAATTTTATTTTGGGTAATTTAATATATTTTTTCAAATGCTTATTGTTTGGCTTTAATTCCAAAAAAGCAAAATAAGTAATATGGTATAATACTTGATAATTACTACTTGATAATCACAATCTATTAACAGCTTACAAAGACAAGTCTTGGTTTAGCTGTTCTTATGTGCTCTTTGTTATTTGCTGGAAGAAAAGCTGTAAACTTTCACATGAATCCTATGGTGTGGTATCACAACAGTTAACATCTCAAACCAAAATGAAAAGAATTTGAAAATAATCTCTTCAGTAGAATTACATTCCTTGTGCTTCAGTTATATGGCAGGGCTGAAATACTTTCCCTTGCTTTTCAAGTTTATTAGAAATCTTGGGGATTAAACGAATGAGTGGAAAAGATCCAACATTTAAAATGATAAAAGGGGAAAAATAGGTAAAAAACTAAAATGTCCCACAGGCACATGAGTCATTGGATACAGAATCTACAATTTTGAGTTTAAAAATGATTTTGAAATCAAGAGAAACTGATGCTGATATTCTTGCAGGCATGACACTGATATTTCCAGTAAGAGACTATCAAAAGCAAACCTAAATATGCATAGAATTGTCCTGTCAACTGTTGTCCACTGATACCTGACTCTATGGCATGTACTGTGATGTTTCAGTCAGGCTTGTTGTAGTGACAGAAATCTCAAATTAGTTTAGACAGAGATAGAATTTATTGGAAAGGTATTGTAGGGTCCTATGATGTGAAAGGTGGAATTAAAGAGGCAAATCATTGGAAGAGTAACTGGGAGCTATCAGGAGCTTACAAGAACAGTTTCTCCACATTTATGGTTCTTGTTTTGCTCTGGTCCTTTATACTTTTTTTGAATATCTACTTTATTCCACTTACCTGTGGACCAGTTTCTTCCTTCCATCAGGCAGTAAACATGGCTGCAGGTTCCTGAATCATCTTACAGTATGCATCACTAGAGAGAACAAGTTGTTTTCTCCACATTCCAGGAAATTCTCTTTGGCTGGTTGGCATGGATGTAATGTCCATCTTTTGCCTTCTCAGCTATGACAGGTAGAGCTGAGAGTGTCTGTACAAGGTCTCATTTGTGCCCGAAGGCCATAATCCCATTCTCTCAAATGGACAATTCAGACTGGAATAGTTATTCCTTCTCAGGACTCTTAACTCTCAGAAGAACCTAGTGGTCATTAGATTGATATTTAGTGATTACTATTGAGGAAAAACTCAGGCATGTGTCATGCAACTCTTGACTTGGTGGTTAATAAATCACTGGTTTAAAATATCCTTTTTTCCCTTTTTCTGTAGTGGTTGGAGAAAAGGAAAAGATAAATAATGCTGTAAATGTCTGAACAAGAGACAACAAAATTCATGGAGAGATTTCAGTAACTTCTGCCATTGATAAATTGAAGAATCTCAAGAAATCACATACACTAAATGCTGAGGAAGGGTTTTGAAGAACTTTCCTTGTACATGCTTCTTGTTTTGACCTTTGAAAAATGTATTTTTTCTTAAACAGTTAACGTGTTAGTACTTCTAAGAACTTTGGACCCACTGATGGTTTCACTTATTATGGGGTCAGGTGACAAAGGAAAAATGAATGAGTAGGTGATATATACAATGTTTAATTCATTAATGTGTTCTGACAGGGATAAGAGGAGCAGCTTTGGACATTTTCCAATAATATCTTCAGTGACCTTGATGAAATGTTACTCATTGAAAGAAGGAAACACTGGAAAATGAAAATTATAAAAAGGTATTGCTAAGATTTGTGAATTTCAAAAAATATGCTTCAGAGCTGGGGTTGTAGCTAGTGGTAGAGCACTTGCTTTGAACAGATGAGGCCCTGGGTTCAATCCCCAGCATTGCAAAAATGAATGAATAAATAAATGAAAAGGGTTCAAATAAAAGTCTTCAAAGCTGTTTTGAATATGGAAAAAACCCTTATTTTCCAATAAGATTATGTCTCAAGTATTTTTATGGCTGTTTATTACTAAAGTTCACACTGAAACTTTATTTCCCAAATTGGAATCATTAATTTGTTTCAACTAAGCAGCAACTGTAAGAAAAAACTAGCACTAAATATCGGGCTCCTGACAAAAGACTCTGAACCTTAAGAGGAATTCAGTCATGGAATCTTTTATTTGCACTGTAGGATAAAAGTTGCAGTTTTAATGCCTCTAATTCATAATTCTTACTCATCTTTAGAGAAAATAAATACCCAAATAAAATGCATAATGGTGTTTCCAGTGTTTCACTCATGGGCTTATATATAGTAAGTTAAATGATTTTTTTGATGGGACGACAATTCACTGATATATGGACTCAAATCGCTTCTGATTTTAACTAAAAAGTATACCTTACTTGCTCAGGACATAATTAAAATGGCTTTTGTTGAATAAAGAATTTAGTTTTCAATCTTATCTGAATATTTAATATTTATTGAATGTTTGGCAAGGTGCTGCAGAATTTAAAATAAATGCAAAAAACTATCTCTTTTGAATATACTGGTGTTTCCTGGGGGATGTGAATAAATGGTAAACAGAAGGATCATTATCAGACCTGTGTAGAAGCATGAAGTGAGATCATGATACAATTTTTAAGCTAACATTTATCTGGGGCTTTTCTTGTGCAAGCAGCATTCCACGTATTCTTTTCATTCATCAAACACGCAAATGAGGACGCGGGGAATCTGAAGACCCCAAGTGAATGACCTTGTGGCCGATGGATGGGGAGAGCCAAGCATGTTAGCCGCACCCTGTGAAGTGCCCTGGGATGTGTACAGGCAAGGATTCTCCAGAGGGCTGTGCATGGACCCTCTTTGGACGTGAAAATCTCACACTCTGAGCTCTTGTCGCAGTCCCTCCAGGCTGTCCTGCCCTTCCCAGTCTTAAGAGGAATTTGCTCTAAGTAGTAAGCATCCCCAAAGACTTGCCCAGGGTGACACACCTAAGGCTGGCTGGGTGCCCGGATCCGGGAGGGTTGGGTCCCTTGGACTCCTGTCACAATGGGGCTGCTCTTTCCGCTGCAGTTAGGCCATTTTCCTCACCTGTAAATAAGTACAAAATGTGATCATGTCGTCAGAACCTTTGCACAGACCTGCCACAGCCTGGGAACTTTTATCTCTGATTTTGATTTTAGTTTAATACATGGTGAGAGATATGGCCCTAGATTCAATCTTCTGCATGTGGATAGTTTTTCCTCTTTTTTTTTTTTTTTTGGTACCGGCGATCGAACTCGGGACCTTGTGCTTGCGAGGCAGGCGGTGGCACCACTGAGCTCAATCTCTGGCCCAGTTTTTCCTCTTTGCTCCTTAGCAGTCATGGGAATAGCAAAACTGGCTCAACCACAAATGATTTTAGGCTAGGTCACACTTTATATTCTTTTCTTGACTTAAAAAAACCAACATTTTTCATCTTCTAGGCTTACATATTGTGAGATCCTTTTGTCTTCTCTTTCTCAAATTACTATGCATCATTATCAAAATCTTATTCTTACCATTTCACTCCCACCCAAAGTGAAAGCACACAATTATGTTGCAACCATATAAGCTTTAACTCCTGCCTGTCCTAATCCAGCTGAAGTTCCTCTTGTAGATCAAGATATCACACTCTTCTGTAGCTCAGAAGGAGGTTTTTAGGTTGCCATAACAGATCCCCACAACTCTATAAGATAGGAGCCGCTACCTAATGTAAAATCTACTCAAATAGAATTTGTGACTCTTGTAAGAACCTACACTCTAGCTAAGGGTAAAAGAGTTAACATCTACACAGATAGTAAATACTTTCTGGTGTTATATGGCTTTGATATGTTATAGAAAGCCCAGGGATTTCTAACTACAGCTGGGACACAAGTTAAAATGGGAAACAGGTAGCTGACCTCTGAGAGGCCTGATTCTTTACCATGTTCTAGGATCCTTACCATATTCTAGGATTCTTATCTCCTAGAGCTGGACATATTCATAATAGAAGCTTATATGTGCAATAAGACCTCTGAGGCAAAAAGAAATAAATTCATTAGCAGATAAATATGCTGACTTGGCAGTTTATAAATCAGCTCCAAGCCATAGCAATCACTCACACCAGGTATTAAATCTACTCAGATTACCACCTGGTCCTCTGAGGAAATTAAAGTATCTCAGTTAAAATTCCTTGGAGATGAAAAGATCAGTTGGAAACAAGTGAGTGTTTTATCCACACAAAAGTCCAAAGATGGACTTTGGAGAGACTCTGAAGGACTCTTGGGCTCTTCTCCATCCTTCCCCTGAAGTTCAGTCCTCACATCATGGGAAAGAAAACAAACAAGCCAACTGTTTGGTCATCATTGGTGGGGAAACTTCACTCCTTACCTGGAACAAGTGGTATGCTTTTGCTTCACCTTCCAAAAACATGATCCTGGCAAAGCAGTGAAGGTGGAACAAGGATGAAAATGACCTCTAGTAGAATGCTTTCTCCAGGGGCAGTTAGATTTTCTTTTATTGCATAAATTTCTCAGAGAAATGTAAAAGAAAATATGACTCCAAATTAAGAGGGCACTGACTGTCCAAAGAATGACTCAGACAGGTCCAGCTTGGTGAGTAAATGAGTTTTTTGAGTTGCTGACAGCAGTGGATAATGATAGAGAAGAAGAAATGTCAGATAGAAAAGGAGCCAAAAATTACAACATGAAGAAGGATTGATACATGAAAAAATAACCCCAACCACTCCCCCTATAATCAGGGAAGAACTAATGGCAGATATGGCTAATGGAGAAATTCCAGGGCTGGTGCCTTCAGGCCATATAGGTCAGAAATGCCTGGTGTCTTGCATGTTTAGCTATCAGACAGCAGTTTGAGAAGCAGCCAAGCAGGGAGAAATCCTTGGGCCTTGTTGCTTTCCAGTGATCTATAGACCTGACCTAGGTAATCAAAATCAGCTAATAGCAGAATATCAAGCTTTTAACTTTAAGTTATTAAAGGAATTAAAATAGTGTAATGAATAGTGGAGCCCACAGGCCCTTTACTTTGGGGATCTTAGATTCTATTGTGGAGACTTATTGATTAATGTCTGATGATGTGAGACACCTTAATTGCTATTGTCTGTCTCCTAGCCAATACTTTCATTTTAATGTTCAATTACAAGAGCAAGCTATGGATCAGGCTGAAAGAAATAGATGAGATGATGGAGCCATTGTAACCGTGGAAATGTCATTGGGAACAGGACAATTTGCAGACATAGCCTGACAGTTGCAGTACATAGTTGAGACTTTTGAACATATAGGACATATAATGAAAAGAGCTTGGCTTAGGGTGCCTGAGGATGAGGCTCCTGTCCAGTCTTTTCTTAATATCTTACAAGGGCCAAGAGAACCTTATACACAGTTTGTGGCCCGAATACAGGAAGCTGTGCTCAAATTCCTCAGGCTGTAGCAGCCAGCATACTCACTGTCCAGCTCACTTATGACAATGCTAACCAAGACTGTAAACAGGCTCCGGCCACCATGTGAGCTGCTAAAGATCTAAACAGCTACAGTAAGACTTGTCAGGAAATCAGTTCAGAAATTCATAGAGGGCCTGTTAGCTCAAGCTATGCTGGCTCTTACAAAACAAGGTAATAATATTAATGCTAAAAATGTTAAATGTTTTGATTGTGGTCAAATGGGACATCTTCACCCACATTGTGTGTCTGCAAGCCAAGGTAGTAACTCTAATGTCCTTGGACCTTCTACTAATTCTAACTTGGGAAATAATGAGGTTGAACCAGGTCTTTGGCCAAGATGTGAAAGGAGTAATCATTGGATTAAACACCGTCGATCTAAATATCACAGAGATGGAAAATGTGAAGGGGTCTCAACCCTGGACCCCCAAATACTAGAGGTGACCCCAAAGTGGAATCAGACCTTCAATCAGACTTCCAATCAAAAATCCAGTCAGACTTATCCAGTCCAGACCTGACAACAGGCTTGGGTTCCCAGAGGAACATTGCCTTCCTCACTGGAGGAACTTCAGGGAGCACAGAACTAGATCTACCAGCTGCTCAAAAGGTGAATCTCATTAGGGGCAACAAGTCCGTTGCCATTCCCACTGGGATTTGGGGACTTGCACCTAAAAGTACTATTGGAGTAATTATGGGAAAAGTTTCTTTAAATTTAAAATGTCTTCGAACCAAAAAAAAAAAAAAAAAAAAAGCTACAGGCCAATCTCCCTAATGAACATAGATGTAATAAGATACTGGCAAACAGAATACAGAGGATCATCAAGAAGATCATACACCCTGATGAAGCTGGATTCATTCCAGGGATTCAGGGATGGTTCAACATACATAAATCAATAAATGTAATACATTATATTAACAAAGCCAAGGACAAAAACCATATGTTCATCTGAATAGATGCAAAAAAAAAAAGCATTTGACAAAATCCAACACCCATTCATGATAAAAATCCTACAGAAAATTGGAATGGAAGGTCTTTATCTCAACCTGATAAAAGCCATCTATGAAAAACCAACAGCCAACATCATACTAAATGGTTAAATACTGAAATCTTTCACACTAAAATCTGGAACAAGACAAGGGTGTCCACTACCACCACTAATGTTCAATATAGTCTTGGAAACATAAATGATAGCAATGAGACAGAAAAAGAAATAAAAGGAATAAAGATAGGAAAGGAAGAAGTTAGACTGTCATTATTTATGGATGACATGATACTCTATATAGAAGACCCAAAAAACTCCTCCAAAAGACTTCTAGACTTAATAGCCAGATTCAGTAGAGTAACTGGATACAAGGTCAACATTCGAAAATCAATAGCCTTCTTGTACACAAAGAACAGGCTCACTGAGAGAGAAATTGGGGAAACAATTTCTCTCACAATAGTATCAAAAAGATGAAATATCCAGGAATCAATGTAACAAAAGAAGTAAAAGACCTTTATTCTGAAAACTACAGCATTCTGAAAAAAGAGATCAAAGAGGATATCAGAAAATGAAAAGACATCCCTTGTTCCTGGGTAGGAAGAACCAATATAGCAAAAATAGCCATACTTCCAAAACTGCCATATAGATTCAATGCAATCTTGATTGAAATCCCAACACCATATTTCACAGAACAAGAGAAAATAATTCAAAAATTCATTTGGAATCAGAAGAGACTCAGAATAACAAAAGCAAGTCTAGGCAACAAAAACAAGGCAGGGGGGCATTACAATCCCCAACTTGAAACTATACTACAAAGCCACTGTGATAAAAACAGCAAGGAACTGGCAAAGAAAC